ACCACCTTTCCAGAGTGATAAGTTCGTTAAGATATGGGAAGACAGAGGCATCAAAATACGAAAGTCTATCCCGTTGAGTGCTCAATCGAACGGCGCGGTAGAAAGACAAAATATCGGAATCAAGCATGCTTTGGCAACCGCCAAATTGGACAATATCAACTGGAGAACAGCTTTGGAGAGGTATGTCCATGCGCATAACAAAGTTCGGCCACTATCACGCTTTGGAGTTACACCCTTTGAGTTATTGGTGGGATGGAAGTTCCGTGGGACATTCCCCAGCCTTTGGGAATCAAATTGTACTGAAATATTAGATCGTACTGATATTAAGGAGAAGGATGCAATTTCTAAACTTGAGAGTAAAAAATACGCAGACAGCCAAAGAAGAGCTAAAGATTCGAATATTCAAGTAGGGGATACAGTTTTAGTCGCAATTCCGAAGAAGCGTAAGTCGGACCCGGAATTTTCTGCTGAAAGATTCTCGATAATTGCAAGAGATGGAGCAAAAGTGATAATTCGGAGTAAAAGCGGGATTCAATACTCTCGTAACGTTCAGGAGGTTAAGAAGGTTCCAGAAGATCTACAAGAGCTTGCTGATAGAACGGTCAACAATGACACTGAATTGGGAATCACAAACACAGAAACAGAAAACCATGAAAGTGAAACTGGAATTGAACTTGAGGACACGTTAGATGAAAATATACAAGTGATGCAGCGTCCATCGCGAGCGACAAGAAAACCGAACAGATTCAAAGACATGATACTGTACAGCATTTTTGAATAACAAAAGATAATCAAACCACAGAAGAACACTCCAAAACGGATCTACATAGAAGAGAGCAACTGCAGAAGTCACACAGGAATCGAGCTTGACGGCATAATTTAACGAAACTAATGAATATTGTTACTACTACAAAGAAACTAAATAAAACAAAAACAAAAACAAACGATTATATTAAGACATTTTTTTTAATTCTTAATAAAAATAACAGAGTAGAGGACCGAGGTATTGTAGAGAATAAAAGTGAAAGAGACAAATAAATAAATATCTCCTGAAATGAAATTTAATTGTTTTCAGACTTGAAAGCTACAAAAAAAAAAAAAAAAAAAAAACGATTATATTAAGAAATTTTTTTTAAATAACAGAGTAGAGGACAGAGGTATTGTAGAGAATAAAAGTGAAAGAGACAAATAAATAAATATCTCCTGAAATAAAAATTGTTTTGAGACTTGAAAGATTTCGTATCCCTTGAATTCCACCTCGCTGAAAAAAAAGGGGATTTTAGCTTCATTTGGACGTTTAAAATCTCGATGTAGTAAAAATTATCTAAACTGGCGAATGGCAAAACAAAACAGCAGCAGCGAGTATGGTATAAAAGTAACTGTGCCATATTCCGTTGCTCATTCGATTGACTGACGACAAAGCGGACGGACGCAAACAGCAGCAAGCATCGCAGCAGCAAGCACAGCAGCAGCCACCTACATAAGGAGCAGTGCCACATTCCGTGGCTGACTCAGCAGTCGGACGACAAAGCGGACGGACTCTAACAGCAGCAAGCACCGCAGCAAGCACCTACATAAGGTACAGTGCCACATTACGTGGCTCACTCAGCAGTCGGACGACAAAGCGGACGGACGCTTACAGCAGCAAGCAGCAGCAGTAGCCACCTACATAAGGTGCAGAGCCACATTCCGTGGCTCACTGAGCAGTCAGACGACAAAGCGGACGGACGCAAACAGCAGCAAGCACAGCAGTAGCAGGCACCGCAGCAGCGAGCGAGACCTGATCATGGATCATCATATGTTCGTTAGGGCACCTGGCGAACAGACCACCGGAAATCACGACACTATACAACTGCAACACAAAGGTGTTGTCTAACGTATTCAGTAAAACGTTTACACAAAATCAATTTCTTGTTGAAGAAACGCTTCCATTGTGATTTTATTCAACTGCATGCTGAATAATAACTGTACAATTTGTTTATTACAACTTCTGTAAAACTCTTGTTTACACTGGTTTGGAGAACCTGTTCAACTACCCAACTAACATTTTCAGCTTTGTAAGCCAACTTTTCCAGCGTTGTGCTGTAAAGTAGCTGAAAAGAAGCTGCAGATACAGCTACGAGCAAAAGCTAGCAAAATAGTTTTGGAGAGCGTTTACTCAACTTTCTCACAACCATTATTCAATTTGTGAGTCGCACTGAATAACATCAGCCAATAAACGCTAATGTCACTTCTGTACACACACTAATCAACTTTCCACTTGTAGCTGCAAAACAAAGCTAAGAAAGTGAATATATTACTCATTTGATGGCTTCTACACAACCAACAACTCTTGCTGAATAACATAAACATCAAAAGTGCTTTTGCAACAACTAAAAATCCTGTACTCAGCTAATAAACTGTGTTAGAGCTACTTCGGAAGCATTTTCACAGTCAACTAGGTTTATTTTTAGACGTGTGCAGTTTTACAGCTTTTACTCTGCTCCTTTACAAAGCTGAAGTCACTAGTCGAGAAAAGTGATTTATGTGCAGTATTATAAAGCCTCTACTCAGCGATTTTGTTGTAGAAGGGGATGTTGATTTGTTTACATCAGTTCAAAGTGTTGACGTAGAACAGTTGGTAAAGTCAATGTTTGCCAATGCGGTCGTCTCGAGTTCGATGCCAGGTTCCGGTGCTGGGTAAAATAATTTGGTGATGACTTGTAACTAATTTCGATTAATTTGATTTGTGACAGCAAAATAAACTCAATAAATTCATCCATAAAAAAAAATCGTTAACAGTATTTAACCCGGCTTCAAGAGAAAGCTGTGTAGTGATTATTGGATAACCGGGAAAAGGTTGAATTAAGCGCCTTTCAAGTTGACACACAGCTAAACAGCAGGATAACAGCTGTATAGAAGCGTTAATGGATACTCAATAAGAGCTTGTCCCAACTGTTCCAACAACCATAATTAGCTGACTAAGTTCGCCAGATTTGCTTGTATGATGTTGAGTAAAGGTTTCCTCATATCGTATAACGTTTGAATACAGCTTGAGGCTGTATAAATAAAATGAGTAAAGCGTTTACATTGTGAAAATTGTTAGTTGGGGAGGAAACCTGAGAGGCGTTTGTTACACTCTTTTATGACTCCTAAATATTAATTGAACAGCAAGCGGTGAAAAGCGTTTATAACACTTTTCAATGACTCCTTAATAACCGGATAGAAGCAACTTTTATACAACGTTTATAGATACATATTTAAACTCAAGCTTTATTGTTTTGGTGAAAGCTCTAATACAACGTTTGTAGACACCTCCTAACAGCTGCTTCGAAATGTGTTAGAGATTGAACCTGAGAGGCGTTTGTTACACTCTTTTATGACTCCTAAATAATCACTATACAGCAAGCGGTGAAAAGCGTTTATAGCACTTTTTAATGACTCCTTAATAACCGTTGTGTAAGTATTCACAATATTCACAGATTAAAATTAGTTTAACAATTGTCGTGGTACGCCAAAATAATTGCTTGTACAGTTTTTATTAATTTAATTTATTTGTGCACATTGAAAAAATATGTAATTATGCCATAATTCACATTCTGTGATCATGGAGGAAGTAGTAACAAGCATCTGTTTAATCTTTGATTGATATTCTTTCAATTAATCTCTCTAATCATTAATTGAGAGAATTTATCTTGAAATGTTATCGTTGATTATATGATATATGTCTTAAATTAATGTTTGCATTTATTAATAACACCTATATATAATTTACATCTACTCCACCGAGGGTTTCTCGAAGCAAGATTCGAACTCATGATCCCGGATTGCCAGCCGCTTCTGTTTCCATCTGCTCTATTCTTGAATACATATTTTGATCATATGAGAGAAGTATATCAAGCTCATCTTGAGTGACTTCTCTTGCAGTCGAATAATCATTGCCTTATGGTTATATAAACATGCCTATCACTTGTGCTATTTTTAGCAACAAAATTGTGGTTGGTCGAACGTAAACAACACGCAGAAAAATGGATTTTTGTTTCAGGGCCTAATGTATTTTGTTATTGATTCAAACATATTGTATCACTATTTCAACGAAACATATTTTTGAATCAACAAAATGGTTTTTAGAATCAACAAACAGATTATTGACTCTACAACCGGTTTGTTGATTCGAAAATATTTTTCTTTGGATTAACCGAATAATATATTTGAATCAATACCAAAAATATATTAGGCCCTGAGCCAAAAATATATCCATTTGAATTTAAAAATCATTTCTCTGAGTGAATCATTTAAGAGTGCTCCAAGCAGCTTTTGAAGCTTTTAACCAAATGGCAATACAACTACATTCTTGTACAACTCTGGAAGCTATTATTCAATGTTTGATCAACTCAGGTGTTTTATAAGAGCTTCCAATGGTTTGTTTTGATGCGTTTATTTCACGTTCTATATAGCTCTTGTCAATCAGTTTAACAAAGGTGCTATAAAAGTTATCGTAGGTCTTATAAAGCATATAGTGAAACCGAACGTAAACAATCATTTAAGAGTGCTCCAACAGCTTTTAAAAAATTTAATCAAATGACAATACAACTACATTCTTGTTCAACTCTGGAAGCTATTACTCAACGTTTGATCAACTCAGGTGTTTTATAAGAGCTCTCAATTGTTTGTTGGGTTGTAGCTGAGAAAATTTGCTGCAATCACTGCTATCATTCGATTTGGGGCGAAATGCGTCTTCAAGTTTAATGAGGTATCAGACAAAAACATTAAAACATAATATTTTTGATTTCGAAGACATTTACTTGTCAAAGCTTGAAAATATCTGCAGATGTGACATCTGATTAAAGCTGCCGCAATTCCATACTGCACAACCGAAAAGATGCTCCGTCAACTAATAAGCTTGAAAACCCCTGGCACATACTATTCTACGCACTCACTGTTGTTTCACGATGCGACAAGATAATGGTTCAGGTCGCGTGCATTGGGACACATTTAAACCGTCGGCCCCACCGGAACGATCGTTACTCTGGATAGTACCTTCGAAGTGATCGGCCCAACAACCGACAACAAAGGCTTCCTCTACACACCATACTTAGTGCGTAAGTTTGCGATAGAGTCAAATTAAATTATTTAACGGCAGTGCGCGCTGATTAACGATCGCATTGCAGTGATATAGGTACCTACAGTAAGGTAAGTCTATCTGTATTCTCCGGAGAAAAAAATATCTTCAAAAGATAAAAAAAACTTCACATAATCACGCATAGATCACGACGGGACAAAGTGCGTTGAACAATATCCCTATTATAATAGCAACCGTTATCGGACTAATCTGAATAGTTTTGTGTTTTTTTTTTGTTGGCCCGAAAGCAAAGCAGAGTAGTGGGCTATTAGTGGCCATGGAAAATTAATCACAACCTTAGCTGTAAACAACCGAAAGTTGCTCTGCGGTGTGAAGCGTCGTTTGTTTGGTGATCGTCATCCGGTCTGATTCTGTGATCTTCGAACGCTTTTTCGATTGAAACCCGTGCAATTATAGACACTCCTGTGGTGATGCAAGTGAACAAAGAACTGCTCATTTTAACGGTATTGACTAGATATGAATTTCCTGGGGGTCCTGATCAATTCAGCGAGTCCATTCTTTTTTTTTTGACTTTAAATGTTCTTTATTTCTTTTGTTTGTGTGGTTTACATGTATGAATTTTCAAGTGACACAGATGCGTCTTTTCAACTTTAGTACATTTGAGATTTTAATTATTATTTACAGTTCCTAGTCCTACAACTACAACTAACCTACAACTACTATATACACCTAATCTACTATATACAAATTGCTTATCAAAGCATGTTCATGTTCAAAAATACATTTGATAAAATACATTTTTGTGCAAATTTAGTGTTAATTTCGTTAATTCTGGAATCTATTTAGGCGATGCTTGCCTCTTCGTGTAAATTTATTATTCTAGTGTCGAAAGGACGATCAAGTACCATCCTCAGATTTTGTTCCTGTGAGTCTTTGCACATGATTCCCACACCGGAGCTGCGTAGAGGATCGCAGGTGCTATGATTTGTTTGTAGACAGCCAGTTTGTTCACCCTTGAGAGGCGGGATCTGCGGCAAATCAGCGGATACCGACTCCTAACCAAGGCGGAACACTTGACTACGGTTTTCTCCACATGCGAGCGGAATAGGAGCTTTTCGTCAAACAACATCCCAAGATAGGTTACTTCGGCGGACCACTCAACCCTTGTGCCATCCATGATTACAGTACAAGAGGGAGCCGGTTTTAGTTTGGGTGATTGTCGATGGAGGAACATGATCGCTTGTGTTTTGGAGGCATTGATTTTGATTTTCCACGTGGTGGCATAATCAGCAAAGGCGTTAAGGCATCGTTGAAGTTTGTTCGTTATTTCGCGAGGCATCCTTTCCTTGACGGCTATTGCGGTATCATCTGCGAACAGGAAGAACACGCAACCGTCACCGAGGGGAGGAATATCGGAAGTATAAATGCTGTAAAGCAAGGGGCCCAGCAAACTGCCTTGCGGGGCTCCTGCTGGGATGGAAAACGTGTCTGAAATATAACCATTCAACGATACCTTAAACGACCTTAGCTGAAGGTAGTTACGGGTGATTTTAATCAAGGGGGGGAGCTGGCTGTCAAATGCGAACAATCGTCGCCTACCTCGCATGCCTCGCATAACTGGTTCCAAACGTAAACAAGCCATAAGAAACCTACAGCGATTGTTTACGTTTGGAGCCAGTTTCATACAAGAATGATCAGTAGGCTGATTTGACAGCACGTCCCCCCCCCAGATTTTAATAAGATGTGAAGGAACGTTGAAGTTACAAAACTTGTACACAAGTCCGTCATGCCAAACATTATCAAACGCCTTTTCAACGTCTAACATGGCCATGGGTGTGGACTTGGATACAGCTTTGTTACTTCGGATGTTATTCATCACCCGTACTAGCTGGTGATTGGTGGAGTGCCCCTTTCTAAACCCAAACCGAATGTTATTTTCTTCGACAAACTTGAGCAAATGATTGAGAATGATTTTCTCGAATAATTTGCTCAGCGCTGAAAGGAGGCTGATTGGTCTGTAGCTTGAAGGAAATGTAGTATCCTTATCTGGTTTGCGGATTGGTATGATTTTAGCTACTTTCCAGATGCTTGGAAAGTAGTGCAGTTCCAAACATCTGCTGAAGATAGCGGTTAGAAGAGACTGCACTTTCATGCTGAGTCTCTTCAAGATCAAGTTGAATATACCGTCAAACCCGGGTGCCACGGGGGAGGCACGACACAAGGGGAGGCATCTAAATTTTGAACGCATTGCGCAACCTGATCTTCGAGCAGACTTTGGATAGTCGAGTCAAGCAAATGCGATGAAGCGACATGCTTGCCGATCGCATTTGCTTTCTCCTGTGGGGTGATTAAAAGCCGATCGTCATCATTTTCGACTCTGAGAGGTGGAACTGGTTTGGGATGAGTTTTCAGGACCTTGGCTACCTTTCAGAATGGTCTGGAGCGGTCGTCCAGATTCTGGACAAGCCGCCCGAAACTTCCGTTCCGGAGTGAGTCCATTCTGGAAGCAATCTTCCAGATCCTTGTTCAGATCGGCCATTTCACGTTTCATCGCTAGATCTCCGGTTCTCTGGAACTAGCGTCTACGAACATTTCTCAGGCGAATCAAGAGTTGGGTGTGGGAATCAATAAACTTACCACTCACAGGAACTTGTCGGACGCACGCCTCGTCAGCCACGGTTATGGCTTGGTGGAGTCCCTCCAACGCTCGGTCGATGTCCTCCACGGAATCAAGCGTCGGGTTGTCGATGATGTGCCTGTCTACCACGCGTCCAAATTGCGCCCAGTTTACGCGATGATAGTCCTTGCGCAGGCTTGAAGCAGGAGCCACGTTGCAGTCCAGTTCAGCCATCACCGGTTGGTGGTCGGAGCTGAGTTCGTTCAAGGCTACCGGCTTGGACAAGCCGATATTTATCAGGAACAAGTCTAGCGTCGATGGGTTGCCCGCCAGTGAGATAAATGTTGGCTCAACCGAAAACCAAACGGAGTGGTCGAACAGCAGACGACCGTTCTGGTTCTGCTGGTAGTTCCGCCAGGCCTCATGGGTGATGGTGGACAGGTCCTTCTTGAATTTAGCCACTAGACGGCAGTAGATGGCGATGAACTGGACGTATCCAGTCGACGACTCCACCTGCACACCAAGGGCCTCGATGATAGAGGTGCGGATATGGGACAGAGTGTGGTATTTTATTCCTTTTTTGACGACGACCGACCACCTGGCCAGCAGAATCACCATCAGAAGTTGCTTGAGCGGAATGCACCCGCGAATTCGCTTGCCTTTGCTGAGGAGCACGATGAGGCGGGAAATCCTCCGTTCGAAATGCCGGGACTTTGTCCTTCTTGCGTCCTGGTTGGTTATTAGTTGCCCCCTTTTTACGGATGCGTTTGAAGTCCTCGCGTTTGGAGCACTGTCTGTCAGAACCTTGATGTGCACCACCACAGTTGGCGCATTTTAACACCACGGCTCCATCCGCAGGGCAGTCAGAAGTGGTGTGTTTGTGAGCGCAGTTGCTGCAGCGTGCCTTGATGTTGCAGTTGCGAGTGCCGTATCCAATGTTCAGACATCGTTGGCACTGGCATCGCATCGTTGGCATCGCGATGGCCTCAACGGGCACGGCTCCCATCGTACGATGATGGAGTACATTGAGCAATAGCCTGCAGCGCATTCAGCGTCACCGTTCCCTTCTGGAAGTGCACCAGAAAAAGACAATCCGGGTACGTCTTCACGTTTTCGTCTCTCCTCGTCAACCGAAAGACATTGATGTATTTTCCGAAAATTTCAAAAGCAATTTTTCGACTCATCATTTCAGATTTCAAAAAGCTCATGTCATTCTATTACTTTGCTATTTTAGGACACAAAATGCCGCGAACATTTTGCAATCTGAAATGAAGCGTCAAAAAACTGCTTTTGAATTATTCGAAAATGTATCGAAGTAAATTGAACCTTAAGTTACGCGATCATTAGCAGGATCACCATACCTTGTCCCGTATGACTGTTAACCGTTAGGAAAAACTACTCAAAACTAAGAACAGCGGTTGTCTTCGTATTTCTTTATGCTCCTCTTAGTTTATGCCTTGCTCAAACTGCAACGTTATAACATGTTATACTAATTATCAACAATAAAGATGTCATCAAGATATACAAATTACATGTTATTACTCCCCAGTCTGGCCAGTGTTTTAATGATTAACCGATGGAGCGAGAATCCCTAATGCGTAAATTGCTCGTTTTCCTTAGTCATGGACAGGGTTGCTTCTACTCACTTGCTATAAAACAATGGTTTTCTAAATTATGAGATCATTACACGATATAATGATATGCTGTACTTGTAAATAACAAGAAAAGGGTGTAAAGGATGTGTTTGACTAAAAAAAACCTGTCAATTTCATTTTCAGAGCGTCACAATTGGCCATCTTATGATTCGCGGGCGTTCACTCTGAGTGAGCGCTCACGAATCGTTAAATCGCTTATTGTGACACACTGAAAGCAATATTGACAGGTTTACCCGAGCAAAGTCGGTTAACAAAATGAAAGCAAACCGATATTAAAGTTTGCAGTTCCTATCATAATGAAAACTCATTTTGATTTCAATTGTCGCGACATAAGTCTGATATCATAATGTGCTTTCATTATGCAGTCAAAACTTTTTAGATGAAAGCAACTTGACTTGAAGTTTTGCTGTTAACGTCTTGTTTAAAATTTAATTTAAGTTCATCTGTCGTTTAGGTCTAATGATTATTGTTTATTTGTTTTGTTTAACACATTTTAGGTCATTCATGACTTGCCCGGGATGAAATTTGAGCTCAATTCTGTCAGCGTAAGAAGCATGGATATTAACCATTTACGGCATTATTTGCCGTATTCAGTTAAACATTATGAATGCAAAATCAGTAATCAAATTGATTTCATTGAAAGCAAGATTAGTTTTCTATTTGATTCAACAGTGTAAAAGTTCGCTCTCATTTTTGCTGTGTTAACCGTTAAGTCAACCAAAATGAGATCAACTGGAGTATTCAAAATAAGTTACATCATAACAGCAAATTTTGATTTCAATTTGATCTCCAGCTTTGCTCGGGTAATGTGTCAAACACATACTTCACGACCTCTTCTTGTAACTTAAAAGTACTAATTATCATTATCACATCTAATGTTTTCATAATTCGGAAACAGAATTTTTTATAGCAAGTGAGTGGAAGTAACCCTGGTCACGGAACCGGTTACACTCGCAATGCACTGCAGTTTGTCGATTTAGGTACGGAAAACGGTTTAGGAGTTTAACACTCCGAACACGATACCTCTGAAAAACGTGTAACGGCAAGTTTGTAAAAAAACATAACATAGCCTTGATTTCTTGATGAATTTCAAAAGTGGTGGAATCTCTAGAATTCCAAAGGTCTGTAGATTATTTGGATTGTAAAAAGATTGAAAATAGGTTCGTCTACTTATTTTAGAAGCGAAAATAGTCGTTACATGTTTTTTAAAGGTGTGTTTATGGGTTTTGCAAGTGGCTTAAGATCTATAAGTTAGAGTAAAGGGGAACAAATGTTCCTATCATGGTTCCTATATATGGCTCCTGGAGACAACGGAACGGTCCTCCGGAAGCCATCCACGTCCATGTTTACGTCAAGACCCCAAATTCATTCTTATATCACAGGATCTTCTAGAGTACGGTCCCATGGCCATTCGGATCCATGTTCACGTCACGACCCAAAATTCAATCTTACATCCAAGTGATTTGAAAAAAAAAACGCGGAGCTCTAGGATCAGTTTCATGGATTGACCACCTATACGGATGTTCCGGAGGACGATCCCATGGCCATCCGGGTCCATATTTATGTCACGACACTTAATTCTATCTTATATCACAGTTCGAAGTGTTATCGAAAAAACCGCGGAGCTTTTGAATCAGTATCATTGATGGACCCCTTTTACGGACGAAATGGATCTTCCGGAGGACGGTCCTATAGTCATTCGGGTCCATGTTTAAGTCTCTATATTCTTTCTAATATCACAGTTCCAAATGTTTTCGAAAAAACCGTAGAACTCTAGGATCAGTTTCGTGGATTGACCACTTTTACGGATGTTCCGGATATTCCGGAAGACCGTTCCGTTGTCTCCAGGATCCATATACAGGAACTACGGCTGTATTCTGGCTAATTATGAACATTTGTGCCCATTAATCTATATTATAGACCTTATGGCACTTGCAAAACCCATTCGGCCTAAAGTTTTTTACCCACCGTATTCGGAGTGTCAAATGACCTAATCAACCCTGTCTCCGGTATTTAACATTCTACTATTATTCTAACCTTTACTCCTCAACCGATTAACTGATCAACTGATTACAGCCGAACCAGCACCATGCGTTCTCCACGCAACATCTTCACATTCTACGACCCATCCACCAAGATGTGGAGCGGTAACCAAACACCGCCCCTGTACAACCCGAACCAATCGTTGGGTGCATTCGTCCTGTCCGTCCTGAACCGAACTCCGCAGCAGATAGCCCAAATCAATGCGGACACCGGAGCCCGTGTGACCTGTGCGGAGATGCGCCTCCGTACGATCCGCGTGGCACAGAACCTCACTCGGATGGGCTACACCCGGGACAATACTTTCACCATGGCCGTCCGAAACGGGGAAACCGTTGCACCGGTCCTGTTTGCCTGTTTTGCACTGGGGATCCCGGTCAACACTCTGGATGCCTCGTTCAAACGGGACGATCTGAGTCACATGCTGCAGACCGTCCGATCGCAGGTAGTTTTCTGTGACCTGGAAACGTGGCCCGAAATGAAGATTGCCCTCGAGATGGTCAAACTCGATCCGGTTGTGTTCATTTTTGGGGACGGTAAGGTTGAAGGCTGCAAGCACGTGGACGAGTTGCTGATTGGGACTGGGACGGAGGATGAGTTTATGTAAGTACCGGATAAAGGTTTCTCAAATGACTGTTGAGTAATGTTTGATGGTTTTGCTTTGCAGACCGGAGCACTTTGCGGATGCCGCTACCCGAATGGCTGTAATCGTGTGCTCTTCCGGCACGACGGGTCGACCCAAGGGCGTGTGTCTGTCCCATTCGAACTGTATAGCCAACGCGGACACCCTAACGGATAACTACTCGACGGATGTGATGCTGTGCTTCAGTTCCCTTTACTGGCTATCGGGACTATTTTTCCTCCTGGTTGGGACCTCCAGCGGGGCAACTCGAATTATCACGCGGGACGCATTCAATCCTGCTCTCGCATTGGAGATTATCGAAAAATTCCGAGTCACTGTCACTTTCTTCCCACCGGCACAAGCTCTGGAATTGCTGAAGCACCCTCGGGTGTCCCAGGCGGACTTTTCCAGCGTTCGATTACTGTGCAGCGGTGGAGCGGCCGTGTCCGCGGACCTTAAGTATGCATTGGAAAAGCTGATCCCCAATGCCACGTGTTACGTGGGCTACGGTTTGTCCGAAGTTGGTGGAATTGCAACACTTAGCGATGCGGATACCTACAAAGGTGGTTCTACCGGCTACCTGAAGCCCTTGGTACAAGCTATGATTGTCGATCAGGACGGGAAAGCGTTGGAGATTGGTCAGGAGGGGGAGATTCTGCTGAAACCAGATTACAAATTCCTGGGCTACTACGGAAACGAAGCAGCTACGGCCGAGATGCTGGACGCAGACGGTTGGCTTCATACGGGCGACATTGGGAGATTCGACCAAGATGGTTTGCTATACATTGTCGATCGCAAGAAGGACATCATCAAATATGGCAACTATCAAATTTCGCCAAGTGAACTGGAAGGCGTCATACAATCAGTTCCCGGTGTGCTAAATGTATGCGTCACCGGAATACCGGTACCGGGAAACGATCTACCTGCAGCGTTGATAGTTAAGAGCAACGGAGCCGATGTCAGCCCGGAAGATATTCACAAAGCGATGAACTATAGCTTGGGAAGCTACAAACAACTCCGAGGAGGAGTGTACTTCACCAAAGAACTGCCGATGACTTCCTCCGGGAAGGTGCAACGGAGGCATTGTCGGGACATTTTGATCGAACAGTACAACAACAGTAGCAAATACTGAGCTAGTGCAAATTTTAATGTGTTCTATGTTTAGTTTTTAATGTTTTAAAACCGGACGCGGTACAAATGTTGTAGGTACTAAGAATTAAATAAATAGGAATTAACCTAATATGCGATTAATTAGTCATACCGAATTACAACGTTCAGGGGAAAGAACCGGCGGCTTTCGACCAAAAAATATGACCAGTAGAACCACAGTTTAAAACATTACTGTATTTCTCAATACAAAACACCCCCACTCTAATCTTCCCAGTACACATTGTCCGCATCGCTGTCCATCGGTTCCTGTTCCGCCTGCTTCTCAATCGTCGGATCCTCCCGGTAGTACTCCGGATTCCACCAGTCCAGTACCCGTACCTGCCGCACCGGTACGAACACCATCTCGTCCACTATCCGCTGGCAGTAGTTGGCCATCTGCAGTCGTACCTTGTAGTTGGTGAAACCTTGCGCCAGCGTCTGGATCAGAGATTTCACCATCAGCTGCTCGTGGTAATGTGGCAGCAGATGAAGTGTGTCTGTCGTAATTATCAGTATCTGACAGCCTTCCTCCGGGTTTGAGTACGTATCCTGTAGGAAATCCAGCGATGATTTCTGCCTCTGTATCCTGGCCGATCGGGCTGCTCGACTTCCGGGGATCAGTCTAGCCTTTAGCTTAAAGTAATAGTTCCAACCAGTTTTGCACTTGGTGTACCAGGAAAATAGGAGCTGTCGCCCTGCAACTCTATGTGGATCGGTAAATGCCGTCGCTGCAAGTCGTTGCACGAAGGGAGGGTACGTGTAGTACAAGGATCGAATAGCACGTGCCCGTAATCCTCGCAACATTAGCATACAATCCGGCTGAAGCCGCCGTGGAAGATCCACGTTGCGATCGTAATACTGCCGATAGAGATGGTGCCAGAACTTGGCCGATTGCACCACCTCAGCCGTTTTACGGCAGATTACCGCGAACCGGCCGACGTCTTCCGGTCGGACGTGCTCCGAAATTAGGTACCAAATGTCGATCACATAATCACAGTACACGACTTCCTCCGCCATAGTGACATCTGACTTCTTACTTGGGCTAACATGGGTCGAAAGGATGTCATCATCCAGCGCGTCTTCGACGTCACAAGACTCATCAACGGCCAGAACGTTCGATTTAGGTGCTCGGGCTTTCGTCTTGGCAGAATGAGCGAAGTCATAAATTGAATAATCTAAAAATACATATCATTCGTGAGGAATTATTATTCTTCTAAGTAGAAACTAGAAACATACCTCTTGAACCACCAATGCTTCTGCTAGTGGATTTCACTTTTACACAAACGGCCATTTCCTTCCCCTACCTCAAATGACCACCTTCTGGAATTCGGACCAACTGCTTTGTTGTAAACTTGAAAGATATTTCATAATCCGAAGCGAACCGAAGTTCTCGAAGTCTCCGCGCTCCGAAGATTTGACTACGACCTCGATACCATGATATGCCAGGTGATATCAGGAATATTCAACTCAGGTGGGAATATTCAGCTAACCCACACCTTTATCACAAATCTGCGCTCATGCAGCGCATGGAAATTGATTTATAATTATTGTTGTGAAATTAAAAAAAACTAGAACGATGCACAATCCGTCGACATAAAATGTTTCTATAGACTTTCGCAAGCACATAGATCAAAACATTGAAATTTGACGATCCAGTCAGGCGCATCAGCCGTCGCACTTCATCAACGAATGCTGTCCACAATCAGGAAGTTACCGTAGCTGTCAAAATGTGCTGACAAGGCTGACAAGTAAAGATAAAAATAGAGCTGGGTGATAATATGTGAGTTCCTTAGCGCGTGGGATCTAGCAAGGTGAGTACATATAGGTTTTCTATAGAGATCTTCACGTCCGGTTGCATTGGTGCGATATCAGGCATAACATTTGATAACGACACAAAAGCATTTGTAAACAAACTTTCTAAGGCCCTTTACATGCGAACCAAAGTACGCCCACGCAAACCAACAACACCATCGGATAGGGGCAACTATCACCTTTCCGAAAGTGGTATTGGTTTGCGTGAGCGTACTTTGGTTCGCGTGTAAAGGGCCTTAGAAAGTTTGTTTACAAATGCTTTTGTGCCGTTATCAAATTTTTTAGGTTAGCCAGAGGAAAATAATAAACAACTTTACACGGCGGTGCACCCGCTAGTGTGCGTGCGTTAAACGTCACTAATCTCTATAGAGTCGGTGTATAATGAGTCACGCCAAGAGAAAAACAGTTGAACTCGCATCACGGTTTTCTAAAGATTCCCATTCGTTTTCACTTGGCAACAGAGGACTTCTACAACAACTTCAAATGACTTCTAGCAAGAGAAAAAAATTGCGGCTGTAGTAAATCATTATATCAGTGATTTTGTCAAATAATCTTAACAAAAAATAGTACAAATTCTCATTACTGATCATTACCGAACGTATCCCATAAAAAATTAATACTCACTGCGTGTTTATGCTCATTTCTTCGATTATATTTTATATTTTATTGCAATACCTTTCGTGGACCTTTCATGGCATCGTAATGTTTGTTTACTTTGCCCGATAGGTAGCCGGTTTGACAGTTCAATAGGTAGACTTGGCTTCACTCTTGGCGTGACTCATTATACACCGACTCTAGTTTACTAATGTGTCATAGAGTTCTCTACCACCGTTAGTATTAGTGAGCAGTTTCACTAGTCATACAAGCGTTCTACTGGTTGAAAATAAAAAAAAACAAACCGCTGTCAAGTCGAACACTTTGACAGCTGATTTCGTGGTTGAAAATAATAAACAAATCGATTTTACGCGATCACACTAGCAACGTTGTATTAATGAAATCTTGCGGCAATAAGTCAATTAAATTCATGATCCAGCCTATAGACATTTTTGACGTTTGATCCTCTTTCTGTATCTAGCACACATGGATGAATGCACGGTTTGTTTTACCACTAATCTTTTTCCCTCTTGCTCGCATTCGTTCGATTTAAATGGACCAGTACTGTGCGCCGATAAAACGTCAAAAATCTCTATAGTCCATCAGCATTTATATACAAACCGTTCCAAAGCCCTTTACTCACAAAGCGAAGGCCACTTACGCAAACCATCACAATCATCGGACAGGGAAAACTTCCGAGGAAACTTCTACCTACACGATAATGGTGTTGGTTTGTGTAGGCGGTCTTCGATTAGTGAGGAATGGGCTTTGGAACGGTTTGTTTACAAATGCTGATGGGTCCTTTTCTATTGTTGATCCAGAATTAATAACTGTGTGAGTGCATCTGCAACACTAAGTTGAGAGCACGCAATAAGCTAATATGCGATAAGCAATAAGCTTGAAATGCGAAAAAGATGAAGAATGAAATGAACGTTTCGTATGAAAAGTAGGTTACTGTAAAAGACAAAAATGCACATCAGTCTGGTCGGAATGATGTTTTCCTACACAATTCGAAAGTTCCATTTAGGAAGGATGTTTAGCAGGCAAGGGGGACGAAAGTAATTCGTTTTACATTTCATATAACGAATTTCTATAAAATTTGCTTCAAAATTTCGATTTTTTAAGATGCCGATATTATCCGATTTCATGCACTATTAACCGATAATCTTGGATGTGGTAGAATTATCGAGCATTACGCTGATGTTGTTTTTAGTGTGCTTTGTGATGTGAACTGTAACTTTCTTGAGCACCTGCTTTTGTGATTGTTGCACGTTCAAACCGAGGGGGGCGACACATCTAAATCTCAATTCTAGATGCTCAACAAATCTCACACTAGCGAATCAAACTTCGAAAAATCTTCTTTGATTTCTCGTATCTACTTGCATCGCGCATCATCTTTTTGCAGGAAATCTTCAAAATCGTCATCAATCTTCTTCATATCTACTTAGCGTGCGCGCAGCTAACCACAGCAAAACACAATTTTTCCTGCATCGTAGATAGAGTCGCCCCCCTCGGTTCAAACTCTGGAAGCAACGATATTTGCCCGGAGATTTGGCAACAGAATGGATGGCCAAACGTGAAAGATAGGTGCCATCGATGCTGATCTTCACCGGATGCCTGAGAGTGGGGAAGTCTGTTGAGGTAGTGATGGAAATCAGTAATGACCTTGTAGATATCCGAGAATTCTCAGTCGTGACATATGCGTTTTCGCACTTCCTACAATGTGTGTAATGCGCTATACTATCACCTCAAACTTTCAAGAGCACAGCTGCCACAAAATATACAACAATGAAACTGGAACTTCACATTTGATGCAGCAAACAGGGAATTTCAATTTCATGAGTGATGTCACAACTGTGTCCGAAATTTGTGCTCTTGAACACTTGAAGTGATAGAGTATCTCAGCCATCATCAGGCAAGTTGTGGACTCTTCAAGGAATCACCGTAAATGATTTTTGAACAGATTTATCAACCAACAATACCAATACCCCGTTCACATTACAGCATATATCACGTAATATAGGCTGTCTTGCAATGAACACTCATACATAGGATTTCCAGTGTGTATATCACGTGATATACGTTGTAATGTGAACGGGGTATAACGGGTGATTCAGTAAACTTGTAATGACCTTATCATGCAAACTGAAGCACGCCTACGCAACTCAATAGGTCGTATGAATAAAAGCGTTTACTTTACTTTCCCCGTAAGAAAAGCACGGGAAAGTAAAGTAAACTCTTTTTATTCATACGGCCCAATTACACCATCGGATAGGAGAGAAGCCGACGGTGTTATTGATTTGGCAAGGCGAGCTTCGATTTGCGAGAAAAGAGCATTACAAGATTTGATTACAAAAGCTGATCCGCCTTTTTGAATTGTTGGTTGAGATTCCACAACGTTCCTTTCTTATAAATAAACGGCTGTCATCGTTACCTGTCATGATACTTATAGAGATGTGACCCGATATGAGGGATGTGACCGATAAAAATCTAAATTATTTGTTTTTAGAGATTTAAGCACGATTATATCGGATGAATTCGATAAAACTGATTTCTCCGACTATAAATCAATAAATCAAACGTTAGAGTAATTTTTGGCAAAATTTGAATAAATCTGGGACTTTCGTCTCCCTCGTTAGCAGGTTTGATAGAACAAATATGTTTTTATGCTTAACCTAGTGTCGATTCGGTTTCAAGCAAACGAATGATCCAAGCAATTGCCCGGTATAATGCGAGGGGTTTCTACCAAGCTTGTAAGAACTACCACAAATTATTAAAATAATTTGTGAATTTTGAATTACTCAGTAATTTCAATGTAATAAAAATAATTGTGGGTAATTGTGGGTAATTTTGGGTAATTTCAGTGATTCCTACTGCTTGGAAAATAATTTGGTAATTTGAAAGGTAATTAAACAGTAATTCGAGTAATTCCATAAATATTTGTACTCTGGAATTAACATAATATGTTATAATAATTATTATAATATTATTATAATATAATTATAACAATATTATTGTGAATTATTCAATGTACATTTTATGATTTTAGTTGTTTCAGGTATACTTTATTATTAAATTAGTGGAAATCAAATTTAGATATAAAAAAACGAAAACCTGAAAAAATAGGGGCCCATTATGCAAGCCTACACAGATAAAAAAAAGTTGTTGAATATTACATCCAAACTGCTGCAACCAGGTCAATCCATCGGTTGTGTAATATAACCATAGAGGTAACTCTAAGACCAGAAGTTCCCGAAGAAACGTGCTCAAATTTTTGGCTCAGCTCCGGTACTATCTTCGGTCCCAAGCTAATCGATTCACCCCTCGAAACATAGGAAAAACCAATAACCCCTCATTTTATCTGTCAAACTTTCATAGCGAATCAAAACAAACATTGCGTAGTACTAGAATTTTGACTAGAATGGGGTACGTTAATCGTTTGCTTGGGACCAATAGGCTAGTCAAGTAGTGAGCCAATTTAAAATCGTTAGTTTCGTATTGATTGTTGATATAACCACAGACAAACAGACGTAACGCTTCATTGTGTATCTTCGTTCATGCATTTAACGGTTGATTTGAATATTATCAGTTCCGCGAACTACTCGCCGCAGCGCTGGCATCAGATCACTTTGACGTTTCTATACATTCTATAGAACTTTTATGCAATATTGTTTACGAGTTAGCGAGCAAGCTTGTTTTCCGCGAGAAGCCAGAGAGATGTCGTTACTGAGGTTATATGTTTTGAGATACTATGTTTTCAAGAACAAGGTTTTCAAAGAGTTACGTCTGTTTGTCTGTGATATAACGTTGTACGATGTACATCGATTTTGCGAACAAAATTACATCCATTGATGTAATATTGTATCTGCTTTATGCTATTGCATCATTATTTCATACATCAACTAGAATTACATAGATCGATATTACATTTTTTTTTTTGCTGTGTAGATGCAACCAAATAAAATCGACTTTTCCATACTAGCGCTTTTACGACAAATGCTCGGAAAAATGCTTCGGTTCGACATCTGCAATGAGGCTTCAGTTCTTTATGAAGGAAAGATACGATTAATTTGAATAATATTTATCCACGGGAATTTCACATGGAAATTCGTCAATAAATATATGTGGAAATGTATCAGTGTACATATCGTCGGCTGTCCATGCTTTAAAAAGTTCCTGTTTAAAAACGAAAACCGGCAGCCTTGCCAGCGAGTTCCATTCGGCACTCTTTCCACTCTTCAGCACTCACACATCCAAGCACAAAACGATCTGACAGTTTGATGCGCGTTCGCGTTCTGTCACTCATTTCGTTTCCACTCTTTCTGTGTTCGGGTGCTTGTTACCTCCAAATGGCGATTGTGCATAAATTGTGCCGCTGCTGATTAATTATAGCTAAAATCTGCCAAAATACGGTGAGTTTTGCGACGAAAACACGTTCTTATGCAAGTTCCCCCGATGACGATCATAATGTGCTAATTTGTATCCTCCCAACTGCAGGAATCATCCGGTAAAAAGTCCAGCAAAGATAGAACGCGTTTGAAGCGGAGGGCAAAATCTGCTGCACAAGCTCCAAACAAAAAACAAACATGTCGGTCGCGTACTCTCAGCAGGTTAGTGGCAATGAACAAAGTAAAATTCATGGTGATGGATTAAGGATAGTTTCATGTGCATGATATATTAAGCTCAAAGAGGTTTGCTAGCCTATTTAAGTTAAGTTTTTGGTTGCACCGAATGGCATGCAACTTACATTCAATGAGAATCCGCATTTTTTGATTCAAAATCCTGTAAGATAGCTTCGGAAAAATTTCTGTTCGATTTCTACCTGCATCTGGATGGGATTAGTCTTACCTCAGTCTGTTGTACCTGCCAGCAGGGATGAATCGCTCTTTGCAGCATCGTTTGTTACTGTTTAATATAGAAAGCTAACGTTACGTCCAATTGGGTTCTTTAAGGTTAGTGGAACCGAAATGCAAAATTAGTTTAGTACCAAAACAGTGAAGTTTGATCGGGAGAATACTAGCATTAATCTATCTATTTCAAGATGGATTAACTAAAAATTTATTTGGAATTAACGTTAGCTTACTACATTGAAAAGCAATGCTCCAAAGAGCGATTTAATCTTGCCTACCAGTCTTTCATTTTCCACAAACAGTCATGTACTATCTCCCACCGGCATATATCTACTTTCAGCAACAATCTCAACAACCACCGAATCCGGGACAACGCGGTGGCCCCGGAGGTCCCATGAACCGTGGCCAAGGACCTCCGCCAAGCCCGATGCACATCCAGAAAATCCTGGACGAGAATGCCGGACTCATTCAAACGATTCAGGACTTTCAAAACATGGGCAAGGCGCACGAGTGCATGTCGTACCATGTAGCGTTGCACCGGAATCTGGTGTATCTAGCCAATCTGGCTGATCCGCAGCATAACATTCAGGCCCTGCTGCCGGTAAGTGAGGGTCGAATAGATTATTTTTCAAATTCCTCATTGAGCGATTCTCTTGTAGCCTCCTCATGTGCTTCAACACGGTAGTGGTCCTCCAATGCATGGAGTTCCTCCCAGTGGTACTGCACCAGGTCCGCTTCCCGGACATGAGGGAGATCCAACGCATGGTCCCCAAGCGCAGACTCCCGGTCCGAATCAATCGGCTGCACCAGGAGGGGCCCCTCCTGGTGCGGCGGATCAACCTCCGTCGTCTCAACCGGGTGCTCAGCCTCCGTCTCAACCGCCCACTAACCAGGCTCATCCGCCACCGCCAAATCAGCAACCGGTGGGTAATTACCGCGGAGGTCCTCAGGCGCCTCCACCGACATCTTCTGCTGGGCAGACTGCATCCAATCAGGGTCCTCCTGCTCCCGGTCAACCGGGAAGACCAGGTGTTCCACCCCAGCAAGCACCGATGCCTCAGCAGAATCAAGGCTATCCCCCGCAACGAGGTCCGTATCAGCAACATGGACACTACCCAGGTTATCCTCCACCAAACCAACCCTATCAAGGTCAACCAGGATATCCACCGTACGGACCACCCAATCCCGCACAAGGCTACCCTCCTAATGCTCCGCAATCGTATCATCACGGTGGAATGCCTCCGACCACTTCAGGCTCGGGACCACCACAGGGATCTCCATATCCGACCGCTGGTCCTCCACAGGGACCTCAAGGTGGACCGCAGCAAGGTAGCTACCAACAAGGACCACCGAATGCTCCAGGATCACAACCGCAAATGTACGGTCCTCCCGTGGGAGGCCAATATCCACCACAGGCAGGAGGAGGACCTCCGATGGCACATGCCTATCCCGGTTATGGAAGTCCAAATCCTCCAAACGCCTACGGTCAACCCCCATCCGGATATCCGCCTGCCAGTGGCCAACCCAGTTATCCTCCACCTCAACAACAGTATCCTTCCAGCTACCCTGCTAGCCAACCTGTTCCACACGGTCCTCCCAGCGGCTCTATCCCTACAAGCGCTCCCACAAGTCAGACCAATCCTCCAGCAAGTGTTCCATCTACTCAGACAAGCGGTGCTCCAACTTACACAAACCAATCCAGCCCGGCTCCTGGTCAAACGTCATCACCCAGCCCAAGCGCAAATGCTCCACCAACTAGCGTCTCACACGCATCGATGCCACCGACGACATCCACTGGTTACGCAGCGGCAGCACCAGGAGCTTCGGGTCCCGTTCCTCCACAAGCTTACACGTCTCCTCCGGCAGCAGCTGGGCAACATCCGCCTCAAGGTAGCTATCCCCAACCACAAGCTCCAGGTCAGCAGCCGCCTGGTCCTCCACAATCCTACAGCGGCACTCCGCCATCCACTCAGCACCAGCAGCCACCAGGCAGCTATCCCCAGAGCGCACCAGGAGGACCCCAGGGACAAGGACCACCGCCGGGCCCAGGCCCAGTCTACCCACCCCATGGCTACCATCAGCAAGGCTACTCTCCGATTCCGCCTCCCCAGGGCCAATATCAACAGGCGGCCCAGGGCTATCAGTATCAGCGCCCTCCCGGTGGCCAAATGCCACCGCCAGGACCGCAAGGCCCTCCTCCCCAGGGAGCGTACGGGTACGGGTACGGACAACCACCACAGTAGGCACCACACATCAGATCAAAACTCGGTTCCGAGAATCTCAGCACACTCATGCCTACACAACGAACAAAACGACACACGACACGAGACGGATGATGAATTTGATTATCTGACTTTCAAACTATTACTGATTTTACCAATCGATGAGGTTTTTATTTTTTGTTTTTTTTTTTTTTCTAAACGTAATTTTTTTTTTCCTACTCGACCCTGATGACGTTGTTGTACGGAAATTTCCAATCTATTCCAATTGGTAGCACCTATTATAGTAGAGTTAGGGACATCAAGTTTCACCTACTAAATTCCTTGTATTGAAGGTTGATGTGTATGTTGGAATAAATGGTTAAGCTTCGTGTAAGGAAAAAATGTATTTTGAGAATCTAATAAAAAGTCAGTTTTTAACTGAAGCATGGTGTTTAGCACTGTTTTTTTGTGAAGAAAATTTAATGCAGGGATCATTCTAGGCTTTTTACGTTTTTTTTGCAAGTGTTTTGCCGGTTCTCTACTTATGGGAACTCTTGAATTGCTTAGCAAGTTTCTCCCCCCTATTCTGCGAAACACGTGACTCTCTCTCACCGGTGAGGTGACAATAGTCACCTCGTGTGAGATGACTCTCCATTTGATTTGCACGGAGAGTCACCTCACCGGTGACAGAGAGTCACGTGACTCGCAGAATAAGGGGATCTGACTTTTTACTGTCGCATTAATGGGCCTTCGCTCATTTTCAACTTCTTTTCAATTTTCATACCATTCATTCTAGATAGAGCTGGAATTAGGGTGTAACAGCTTTTGTAAACAATTATTTCTCTCGATGATTTCTAGTAACTCAAGGCTCGTCCAAGCAAATCAATATCAACATCAGATAGGGGAAGTCTTCCTCTACCCGATGGTTGTGTTGGTTTGCGTTGGCGCGCCTTGAATTCCTAGAAATCATCGAGAAAAGACATTGTTTACAAAAGCTGTTAGGCCGTAATTCCAGCTCTATCTAGAATTATCACACTAAAGCTTCATGTTAGATAGCATTTCCAACCAACTCTGAAGTTTTTGAGCTTCTTCAGAATTTTTGATCAAAGCTTCCAAAAAGGTTTGGAACTTGGGTCTAATTTCGAAACATAGTTTTCAAAACTTTTGCTCCTCAGGGCAGAGAATCGCTTTTATTTTTTATTTTTTTTTGCGAATCCTGCCAGATAACTTTTATGGCAGGATCGCATGTTCTTTGATATTGCCGCCTACGGACATTTTTCAGACGGATCAAGAGCTGAAGATCGTCGCTTTTGGAAGCTCCTGGTTTCTCCAGCCCAGTTGTGCTGATTACTGTCAGCGCTCAGCATAGTCGTCCTGGACCTGTTGCTGGATGTGGATGTGTGCCTACAGGCAACTACAATTAATATATTGACCATTCACTGCCTGGTGCCGATCAAATGTTCAGCAATTTGGACTATGTTAGTCATTGTGATGATGCCTCTGTAACTCTCAATCCTGGAAACCCGGAACGCGCCTTAAAAAGCCTCAAGAAAGCCCTCAATCCCTCCGTCTCAGTGCTGCCATCAGCAGCCTTCGTGCGTCATAGTCATAGAAGAGGTCTTCCAACCCACTAACTATATTGTTTATTGTTGTTTTACATCAACAGGCTGGATGCAGCGCCAATGATATTAACCTTATCAACTATAGTAAAAACAATACATTCAAGCATAGTCATAACATAAAAAAACATTAAAAAAGATATATCTTATAGTCAGTTACAACTGCCGGCGAAAAACAAAAGAAAAATTTCGACGAAGCGCATCACGGGAGAGATGAAAGTCGAAAACAGATGCAACTCTGTTAATATTCTTTGCAGTTCGCATATCGCACCGTATGCTCCATAATCTGTGCGACGTAGAGGCAGTCTTAGCATAAGGTTATTACGAAGCGGTCGGGGTTGAACATTCCGGTCAATTTGCCTCAGGATAGCCTCGCAATCTTTCCTTCCTTGCAGGATATTGGCCACGTTTAGGGCTCTGCTTGTGTCTCTTCTAGTCCGGAGAAGTTCTAGGTCGATGAGTTGACAACGGCTTTCGTAACTGGGCCTAATCGAAACGGATCATTCCAAGGCAATCTACGCAACGCAAAACGAAGAAAGCGACGTTGAACAGATTCAATTCTCTCGGCACCGTTGTTGTAGTTTGGGTTTCAAACCGCTGAACAATACTCAAGCGTCGATCGAACAAGCGAGCAATAGAGAGATTTTAGACAGTAGATATCAGTCCGCATCGTGCTCTCTTGCCGTGCGGATCTATTTGCTTTTTGCTTAAGGAAGTGTTACTACTACCTAAAGCTACAACAAATTTAAACAGCACTTTTCAGTGCTCAACCTGTAAAAATTTTCTACCTTGTTCAACTCTTATTCCTCTTCGATCCTTGTTTGGACCCTACCTGAGGTAATCCTTCTTGGATATCGATTTGGAAAATTCCTCTTCGATCCTTGAGATTCTTATAGTAATCTGCTTGGAAGTCGATTTGGATAATCGCATAATCGCACTTTTCAGTGCTCAACCTGTAAAAAATTTCTACCTTGTTCAACTCCTCTTATTCCTCTTCGATCCTTGTTTGGACCCTACCCGAGGTAATCCTTCTTGGATATCGATTTGGAAAATTCCTCTTCGATCCTTCAGATTCTTATAGTAATCTGCTTGGAAGTCGATTTGGATAAAACATTTACTGCCGCCATGGCGCCTAAACGCAAAAGAAAGGGGCAAACTCTTGACCCCCCTTCTGAAGAAATTAATTTGAGTAATCAATTTGATTTGCTCACGGATGATGAGAATGATCCATCATCCAAGAAAAATTCTAGTAAACTTTCCCGGCTTAATGCCAAGAAGGAAAAGATTCCCCCTATTGTGATAACCACTACCGATTTCCATGCTCTTCGCATGGAACTTTTGAATTTCGTGAAAGTTAAGTTTTCACTACAAATTGGACGTCGGGGTGAATGCCGTGTATTGGCTGAAACCTTGGACGGATTTAAATGTCTTCTCAAGTATCTTACTGAGAAGAAGCACAAATTTTTTACTTACGACACCAAAACTGAACGTGTGTTCAAGGTTGTCATGAAAGGACTGCCCAGTGGTGAATCCCTGGATCAGATCAAAGATGAACTGGCAAAATTACTTGGAGTTGTGCCACTCCAAGTAATCAAAATGAAAATGAAATCCCGTCCTGGCGATTCGCGCAACGGGATTTCTAATGATTTTTATTTAGTTCACTTCAAGTCTAGTGAACTAAACAACCTTAAGGCCTTAGAAAAAGCTAGCCTTATGCTCCATGTCCGAGTGAAGTGGGAACACTGGAGGAAATTTCCAAAACCTCACTCAGTGCCGTAAGTGCCAGGGATGGGGTCACGGAACTAAAAATTGCTACATGCCAGCTAAATGCATGAATTGTGGTGATTCCACTCACGCAAAGGACGACTGTCCTGTGAAGGAAGATCCTAAGAAATTTAAATGTTCAAATTGTGGTGAAAACCACAAATCCAATTTTTGGGAATGTAAGACTCGCAAAGCGATCCTACAATCTCGTTCTAACCGACAGGTAGGAAACGCTCCACGTTTCCGACCAGGTACAAATTCCTCTGCTGTTAACAACGGTCAGCGAGGAACAAATTCTACATTCGTACCCGTAGGTACAAATATCACCCCTGCTTCAAATGTTTCATCTGTACCTACTCCCCTCGCTGCTAACAATGTTCAGCGAGTTAATGGAGCTACCTATGCTGCTATTGCAGCGGGTAGAAATCAAAATACTAACCAACGTTCTAATGGAAATTTTGACAATTTTGACTTAGGAAGCATTACCAACAATCAATACGAAACTAACGATTTTAAATTGGCTCACCACTTTAGTAGCCTATTGGTCCCAAGCAAACGATTAACGTACCCTATTCTAGTTGAAATTCTATTACTACACTATGTTTGTTTTGATTCGCTATGAAAGTTTGACAGGGGTGTGTGGATTCATGCAGAACATGCAGGGGTGAGTGAAATAGCTTGGGACTGCTTGGGACCGTTGTTCTGGTACTGAGTGAGCCAAAAATAATAATGATTTTCTTCGGGACCCAGTGGTCTTAGAGTTACCTCTATGGCATTACTGCCCCCAAAATTCAGTAATGGATTTTAAAGCATTAAATATTGTAAATTGGAATGCTCGATCTCTTAAAGATAATGAAGACGAGCTATTTAACTTTTTAAGAGTTCATAACGTGCATATTGCCGTTATAACTGAAACGTTCCTTAAACCTGCCCATAAGGTTAAGAAGGACGCAAATTACTTGATTTATAGAAATGATCGTCTTGATGGACCCTGTGGTGGCGTTGCCATCATTATTCATAGACGAATCAAACATAAAATTCTTTCTTCATTTGAAACCAAAGTTTTTGAAACTTTGGGAGTTTCTGTTGATACAAAATTTGGACAACTTACGTTTATAGCTGCCTATTTGCCATTCCAATGCGTAGGCCAGCAAAAGAATTTTCTCGAGGGTGACCTCCAGAAACTTACCCGTCATAGGTCTAAATTCTTCATTATTGGTGATTTTAATGCAAAACACCGCTCATGGAATAATGCTCAAAGCAATTCCAATGGTAATATTCTGTTTGATGATTGTTCTGCAGGTTATTACACTATTCAATATCCAAACAGCCCAACATGCTTTTCTTCTGCAAGAAATCCCTCCACTATTGATTTGGTCTTAACTGATTCATGTCAACTTTGTAGCCAACTGGTTACCCATGCTGACTTCGGTTCTGATCACCTTCCAGTAACTTTTGAAATATCCCAAGAAATAATTTGTAATCCCAACAGCTCTACTTTCAATTACCATAGAGCTGATTGGGAGCAGTATCGAACATTTATGGAATATAACTTCGATCCAAACATTCCTTTGCAAACCAAAGATGAAATTAATTATGCTCTTGAATCTCTGACTACTTCTATAGTTGAAGCAAGAGCTGCCTCAGTACCAAAATGCGAGGTTAAATTCGATTCAATTATAATAGACGATGATCTTCAGCTCTTGATCCGTCTTAAAAATGTCCGTAGGAGACAATATCAAAGAACACGCGATCCTGCCATGAAAGTTATCTGGCGGGATTTGCAAAAACAAATTAAAAAGCGATTCTCTGCCCTGAGGAACAAAACTTTTGAAAATAATATTTCTAAATTAGACCCGAGTTCCAAACCCTTTTGGAAACTCACAAAAATTTTGAAAAAACCTCAAAAGCCTATTCCAGCGCTTAAAGAAGGTGGTAAAATTTTAATCACAAATTTGGAAAAAGCTCAGAAACTTGCTAAGCAATTCGAGAGTTCCCATAATTTCAGTTTGGGTCTTACTAGTCCTATTGAGAATCAGGTTGCTCGGGATTTTCTGAAT